CACAGCAGAGTGAGCACTGACTGGAGGAGAGACGCAGCTCTCACTGAGAGCACTGAGAGATCACAGCAGAGTGAGGAGAGAGCAGCGCAGGGGTTAGGGTTAGGGTTGCTGCCCATGGAGATATGGGACCACACAAGCAAATGCATTGGATGCAGTCCTGCAAGAGACTTGGACAGGATAGGTCATGCAGCCATGAAACCATTCTGTTCTCTAATCTTTCAGGAAGTCAGTGTACAAGCAGTACAATTTCATTTTAAGATAATGTCACAATTTCCAAGTAGTCTGTGAAACCATGAATTCCTCTATGGGAATACAGTGAAATGCTTTGGGATCCTTTAGGGTGAAACTCTATAAATTCATTTTATTATTGTTGTTGAGATCTGTTGTGATTTATCAGACAGCGAGCATGTAATTATCTTCTAAGATCATTTAGACCAACTTAATGATTTTGAATGATTACAGACACTGTAAGTTACTGATAAACTCAAACAATTTGTAACAATGGGTCCCTATGCTTTTAATGGCATGTTAACCCTTTCTGTGTCTCATGTTTTCTGTCAAGGTTGTCAAGCACTCTGAGCTGTAAACCAAAGTTGATTGAGTCTGTAGTGATTGTTCCATGTCGATTTGCATTCTTATCCCTTGTACTTCAAGGGTCCATGCATCTGAGCTCACAAACAGTTAAAAAGAAGATTCCTTTCTTCCACTCTTCCCCTTCCCCTGTTGAAGAAAGTGATTAGATGTGAGAAAATGGTGAATGGATTTCTTTCTGCACAAAGACTTCCTTTGACATTCCATGCTTAAGCACTTTTGAGTCATGGCAGGGATGGGGGTTAACTGATAAAGAGATTCCAAGTGCAAGATAGAGACTCCCTAACTAAGGAAAGATGAGACCCGGCCATTGAAAGTGCTCAAGGTCTTGGGAATGTCCAGACACAGGTGATCTCCCCCAATTATCATGGTAACAATTTGCGTCAGAAATGGCTGAAATTTGCTATATAAACTGGAGTTTTGTGCCTATATTTCCGAACAATTCTTTGATCTTATTGTTCCTTGCATGCAATAAACTCAGTTGTTTAAACTTCATCTTGGGATCCAGAACTTATTTGTCAACTTACCATCCCAGCGGATGGTGCCCTGATTTAATGCTACTGGCTCACGGAATGAGGGATGGGCTTGCACCCCAACCCCCTGTTGGGGTGCCCTGTCCTCACACCCCTCGCTGGCCCAGGCTGAACAGAGTCCAGGACCATGGTGAAGGTGGGCTTGTGTTGTCTACACGCGCGACGGGCCTCAGTCACAGAGGTATTTCGATTGTCTCAAAACCTCATGGCCTCCTGTAGGTAACTCATCAGGGCCTGTGATGGAAGAGGATGCCCGTCAGCGTCAGCAAAGATGGCAGGAAACAGGACTGGGGTACCATACAGGGTGTCAGGACTTCCGGTGCTGCGCTGAAGCCCTAGACACAGTCAGGAATCCGTGTTGCAAACATCAACACTTTCCTCAAGACCTCCAGTAGTCTTTTCTTTTATTAGAGCAACTGTTCTAATGCAGCTTACGTAGGGTGAGAGTTCATCGACTTTGTCTTTGAGTGATACTGTAATTCACATTCTCAGAATCTTCAACTCCATGATGAAGCGCTGTTCAAAGTCTACTCTGCCTCTGCAGCCAGTACAACATTCTACAGTAGGAAATGCAGCACTTTCACCTGTCCAGTCTGATGTATTTATTGCAATTCTACACATCTATGCGGGCAAAAAAATCATTTTGCTGCTGAAAACGAACTGTCTCAGTACTAAGCCACTTTGGTGTATACACTGTTTGAAACCTCTGTAGAGGTTATCTCTAGAATTGTTTCTGCATGAAGATGAATCTTTGTTAAAAGAAGAACAATGCAATTTTTCTCATTTTACTAATTACTAAAATACTTTAATACTAAAATAATTTAATGCAACTTTAACAGTGCAAGTCTATATATACAGTGTGTAGGTGTATTTATTTGCATTTATGCCATGTATGTATTCAGATGTCCTGTGCAGAAGTATTAGTTTTCTGCACAGCTCAGTTTTATGTTTTTAGATGCCACAAAGCCTCTGAAAAACATTTATTTTTAAAGTGAAAGCTTGTCAAGCTTGTTACGGAGCTAACAGCAAGTTTCGACACCGATAGTCGCATTCTTGTCGAGGGATATCAAAGGACTTGGGCGAGAAAATTTCAATGAAATATACAGGGCACGAAGCATTCACAAATCAGACCGCCTTGTCGGGTCTACAGAAAAAACAAGAAGAAAAAATCGGATGTCTTTGATTGCGTTGGTTGTTTTCGGTTAATTTAATTTTGAATTCGTGTGTGGGGGGGTAATTTTAGGAAAATAAGCCCGTTACTAAGCCGTAACTAATATTCTTATGTGACGCGGGAAGACCAGCCCTGACGTCACCCCTCCCCCTTTGTGAACGGGCGACTTCAGCTGTGATGTCACTGACCGCGAGGGGTTTGGTCGCCGGGGTCCGAGGAGCTGAAGAGCTGGTAGCTGAGCCAGCGCGGCGAGAAGACAGAAAACGCGGAAACCGGGAAGCAGACAAATCTGGAAGCTTACAGCGACAGACGGATAATTCCTCTCCCTCCACCTCTCACTCTTAACCCAGTCTGAGAGCGCCGAGCGAGGCCGGACATGTCCGACAGCACCTTGTTCACCACTATCTGGCAATCCCGGGAGCTGCGCCAGGCCAGCGAGAGCGCCCTGCTTCATGTCAGGTTTCCAGATTTCCAGAGCGGACACAGGAAGGCCGCCTCCTTTCACAGGTGGGTTGACCGGCGTTTGTTCTTAGTGAGCGAGTCCCTTAATTGAAGAAAATACTAATTCAGCAAACGATTAAATCGGTTTGGAGTTCTAATATGTTGTTAATATCTCTTCACATTACTACGGGTTTTAATGTTTTTATTTTGTTGTTGTTGTTGTTGTTGTTGTTTTCCAAAGTGAACATTACCACTGTCCTTTTTAAGTCTTTCACAATTTTAATAGTTCCGCGGTTTGAAACAAGTGCCCCAGCAGCTGGAACAATCAGTGATTTGGAATCAGTGAAATTTAACTAATGGAGTCCTTAGAAAAAAGTCACAGGGGTCACGTTTAGTATATTATTGCGTAATTAAAACTAATTGTCAGATGATCATGTTATGCTTTCATCTGTTGATTGTACCCATGTTCATCTGTTTAAAAACCTCTGTTACTGAGGTATTTCCTAAAGACCAGGGGGGAATTTGGCCTGGACGCCTACTGTTTTCGAGAAATGCCTTGGGATTTTTAATGATCACAGAGAGTCAGGACCTCGGTTTTACATCTCATCCGAAGGACAGTGCGTGTTTACAGTATAGTGTCCCCGTCGCTATACTGGGGCATTAGGACCCACACGGACCACAGGGTGAGCGCCCTCCACTGGTCCCACTAACACCTCTTCCAGCAGCAACCTCAGCTTTCCCAGGAGTCTCCCATCCAGGTACTGGCCAGGCTCACACCTACTGAGCTTCAGTGGGCTGCCAGCTGGGAGTTACAGGGTGATACAGTTACTGTCATGGAAGCAGCACTGTGCTTGCTCAGAGCCCGCAAGCAGCCAGGTTCTGTGTAATTTATCTGATGTGATTTATTGATTCAGTTGGACATGTAGTGCCCTAGACGCCTGAGATCAGTTCGCTGCCAGCCTTCAGATGATCTATATGGGCCAGTCTCCCTCTCCTTTCTAATTGTTTTAGTTCTCCAGTCTCCTTGGTGCAGGAGGTTTGATTGAAGATTAAATGTCTCAGCAGGTCCAGTGTTCCCAGTCTAAGAATGTGCCTGGCTGAGCGTGGGTTGGTCTCTCCATGTGTTTCTGTGTGTTTCTAGGGTGCCCCTCCCTGCCCACCCCCACCCCTACCACTCTAGTCTTGGGGTGCGCCGCTCCACTGCCTCCACCAACCTGCTGCACCACGAGCTGTGCCACCGCGCCACCGACAGCCTGATGTCCCTGGACAGCCTGGAGGGCAGCGCCCACCCCACGCCCACGCACTCCGGTAAGAGAGGGGCAGAGACGCGGCCCCCTGCCTGAGCCGGTGGCAGGAGCGATGTCACCCTCTTCACCCTCTCTGCAGGCTGCAGCAGAGGCCCGGCCTTTCGGCATGGGGGAGTGATCCGCTGTCTCTGGAGAGGCGCTGTGCACGGAACAGAGCCCACAAGTAACCGAGTTTGATTCCACTTAGGGAAGGAGCTGTGCGGTTCTGAGTGAATGCGTTCGAACCCTCTGTCTAGGGAGCAAAGCTGTGCGTTCTCTGAGCCCTTGAGCAACAGAGTTCGAATCCGCTTAGGGAACGGACTGTGCAATCCTGAGATGCTCTGAGCACATGAGCAACTGAGTATGAATCTGCACAGGAAAGGGACCTGTGTGGGCTCAGAGCTCCTGAAGAGATCCTGAGCGACCATGTTCGAATCCACTATCTCGAGAGCAGAGTTGTGCACATAGCTAACGAGCAAATGGGTTCAAATCTGCTGTCTCGGAGCCTGCAAGCAATTGGGTCCGAACAAGAAGTATCAGTCTTGAAAGTTGAGAGCTTGCCATTATTACTAATGACAAATTATTACTAATTATTAATAACTTCTTATCTGATCGATTACCCAAGGGCTGTTCCTCAAGCATTAGAAATAGGTGGTTTAGGGTGGTTGTAGGACTTGCTTGCCTGGGGCAATCCTGAGCGATCTCTGCTGTAAAGGAAGGCCTGAATGCACATTTTCTCTAATACTTGTACCTCTGTTGATAGTTAATAGTGGTATCAAGTCGCTTCTTAAATCTAGCGTGTACCACCATGATCTGCTCGTGGTCTTGCATGTTTTTCTGATCATCTTCCTCTGCTCTTCCTCTTGCTCGCCCCACCAAGATTCCAGTGCCGAGCGGCGAGCAGAAACTCTTTGGACAGAGCCCCCCAGTGCCTCAGAGGAGACCAGCAAGGCCCAGGATGTCTTCAAGACTCCCCCCCTACTGGCCGAGGAGGCGCAGGAAGTGAAGAGCCCTGGCGCGCTGCCCCCAGGTGGAGGGGAAGGGAAGCGCGATGAGGAGGAGGAGAAATCCCAAGAGGAGAAGGAGACTTGGGAGACAGCGTCTATTTTAGAAGGAGAGGAGGAGGAAGTTGGGAAGGAGACTGCGGATGGAGTGGAAGAGGAGGATGGAGGGGAGGAGATCTTGGAGAAGCTGGAGGAGTCGTTGCTGTGTATCGAGGAAGAGGAGGAAGAGGATGTGGAAAAGGAAGAGAAGACTGGGACACCCATACCCGAGGAGAAGAAGGCAGTACCCTCCATTGGAGAAGATAACAGTGGAACCCAGGTACTGTACATACGTCTGTTTGCGAGCAATGGTGGTGAAAGGTACAGCCGGGCGGTATTTTGTAACAATGGTTTACGTGTTTGGTGTTCATAAATGAAAACATGGTTATTGTTCGTTTGTTAGTAACAATGTAAAATCCCACAATACTTCTTGAGAACCATTTCCTCCAGCTTGTTCATTTTGACAAGTAACCGTTCGCAGGTTTAACTTGTAACCCGATAACCTTTTTAAAAGCCTTCGATCTTAAAGGGGATGACTTTTAAATTCACCTTGTATACCTCTACAGCACTGGTTCCCAGTCCTGGTGACCCACACACACCTGCTGGTTTTTATTCCCTCCCACTTTCATGAGATAACTGAAGCCTTACTGAAATCAGTTTTCTTCAGTGGGCTCTTGTTTTGCTCAGAGCTCCTTCAGTGTCACGAGTCCACGGGCAAGAGGGCAAGAGGGGCACTGGGTATAGGCATGTGTGCCACCGTCGTGACCCCAGCAGGGCCTCAGGTGAAGGAGAGCTGGGCGGCTGGGAGGAGAGTTGGCTGCCGTGCCCATCAGTGCAGCTGGTGTGTGATTTTTCTGTTTTTCCATGCTTCTTATCCGCAGGGTTTTCAAGTCCTTCCCAAGTGCCAGGTGCCGGCTGAGATCACGCACTGCCTGTTTGAACTCGAGGTCGGTCTGTCGGTCTGTCGGTCTGTCGGTCTGTCGGTCTGTCGGTCTGTCGGTC